ACCATAAAGAAAGATTATTTCTTTATTGCAGTAGAGGTTGAACTCAAAGCCTTGAGCTCAAGAGAATTTAAAACAAAATTATACAAACTATGTTTCTTAACCACAATGAAGTTATTAGAAATTCATACCAGAAAATAGTTGGAAATTCCCAATTATCTGGACACTAAATAACACACATTTACCTAATCCATGGGTCAAAGACAAAATGAAGGGAAATTTGGGAGCATTTGAACTGAATGAAAATGAGGACACATCAACATTTGCTGGGATGCAGTTGTTACAGCAGTGCTTGAAGGCATAGCAGGAGAAATGCCTGATAGAAAAGACAGATCTCAAGACAATCTTCTAACACACACTTTAAATGAGAAGGGGAAAGCAAACTAAACCTAAACTACACAGAATAAGAGAACAAAACTCAGTGAAATAAAGAAGCAATAATGAAAGCAAAACTGATTTTATAAAATCAATAAACTGACATCTTGTACTAGATTGATCCAGATAAAGACCCAAATTGACAATATTAACAATGAGAAAGCGTGTTTGAATCTCACGTTTAAAGATAAGGGAGATCATGAATTTCACAAATTCAAAAACTTAGATAACATGAACAAGTCCTTTTAGTCACCCAACACCAAAGCTCATTTAATAACATAAAAGGGCTGGTGGCGTGGCTCAAGTGGCAGAGCACCTGCCTAGCAAGCATAAGGCCCTGAGCTCAAACCCCAGTACTAAAAAAAAAAAAAAAAAAAAAACCACACATAGAATGTAAATAGTCCTAAATTTACTTTTTTTTTTTTTTGGTGGGGGGGGAGTGGTACTGGGTATTGAACCCAAGACCTAGTGCTTGCTAGGCAGGCAAGCACTTGCTAGTGCTTGCCCCACCTAAGTCTACTCTTAATACTCAATTTAACATAAATTGAAGGGTATTGAGGGCTCAGGTTGGCTTTACTGGAGAACTGTACCTAACAATATAATACAAATCCCTTCAGAAAACTAAAGAAAAGGGAACGCATTCCAACTCACATTAGGTTAGTGTGACTCTTTTACTCAAGTAGCAACATATATTGAAATGAGTAAGAAGATGACCTGGGGTTGGAACACCAATTAGTAGGCTACAGAAATAGGCTAAAGAGAAAGTAACTTAATTCTTATATTGTAACTACTTTCTGCTAGGGTAATTCTATTTCAGGTAACAATCATGACTGACACAAGGGTGTATTTCAGATAGTGCAGAGGAAGCCAGGCCTGAGGCTCAAGAAGCTGAGGTGGGAGCATCTCAAGTTCCAGGCTAGGCTCAGGGCACACAAGTTAATGGTGCCTTAGGGCTGGTGAACGCACAATAGCAGAGGCATACAATGCTCTATTTGACACAACATTGTCATGCTAGTGAGATATTCACTATTGTAGTAGCAAGCATCCAACGAGTTCTTTGTGTCAAATAATTGGAGACATAAGACTGGATTTTAGGATGATTTTCCCAAGGCAAAAAAAAAAAAAAATGACCACCATAAAATTAAATGTACTTTAATTTGTGACTTAGTAATCTTTCAAAGACAATGCAACAGTAGATCCCATGCAGAATCTGTCAGCAGCAGCTGCTACCACCTGGTATCCCTCTAGTCTTGCAGAGGACACACAGAAAAACCCATGTCCACTACTGGCAGGGCCTCTCCTCTCCTATCTCTGCACAAGCAGTTGTAAAGCTGGGAAAACAAAATGGCTCATGGCCGTTTACCAAGAAGGCAGCCGACATAGCTGCCTACATAGAAAAATCAATACATATAGCTCATCATCTCTGAGCCATTAGAACATATAAAATTCTAAATCTACTTCTGACAGTTTGAGGCATTTTTGACTGAGAGGCTGTCTCAGTTAAGTGACCACTCCAAGCACATAGCTCATTCACCGAACAGCTGTACTTCTGAAAGATAGGGAAAGGCATTCATTTCAACTGCTGTTAAAAGCCATGGCAAGTTTTCATTGTACAAATATCCTAGGGAGATGCTGATCCCATGAACAAAAGGGAGATTCAGAAAGCAACTGTCACAACACTACAAAATGTTTAATGCTTAAAATGAAAAATCTTCACTAGAGTAATCACCACGCAACAGAAGATTGCCCAAAACACAATTTTGGTAGTAATCCTGAATCCTAATGCCCAAATACCACCTTTCCGTTGTAAAAACAAGTTGTGAGTATGCAAATAAATGTCCCAGAAATAAATGAAACTACTATTCAACAGGGCAAAATTTTAAGATTTTTTTATTAAAAATAAAGCAAAATAACATCATCATCTGATCTTTACTGTCATTTAAAAGCAGCCCTACCCATAAAATAAAAATACACCCCCCCCTACGCATCTTTACGTTCACATTTTAAACTCTGCCTTTGACTACCTACAGCACCGGTACACCAATCTACTCAAGATTAGGAGAGGAATTTAACTATTAGATTGATCTATACAGCTACACAGTATATTGGAACTTAATCTTTTGTGGGACTCAGGAGTTCTCTAGGTTATTCCTCAAAAGTGTGGTGCAACCTGGTACAATCTCTTCTTTCAGTTTGATTTTCAAGAATTTTGACTTAGTTAAGAAATTATCTAACAAACAAATAAAAACTGGTTAAGAACAGAGGAAAACACTGCTCCATTCTTCTGGAAAAATAAAGTTTCAAAGTAAAATATGTAACATCTCTTCAAAATTAGCAAACTAGATATAAACCTAAAAATCAGGCAACAGATTAAAACCCTACTTTAAAAATATTATAGTAAGAAGCTGGGTGCTGGTGGCTCATGGGAGGAAATCAGGAGGATCACTGTTTGAGGCCAACCCAGGCAAATAGTTCATAAGACTCCATCCCCAAAATAATCAGAACAAAATGGACTGGAGGAATGGCTCAAGCACTACAGCACCTGCTTTGAACTTCAAATCCCAGTCTCACCAAAAAATAGTTGGGTGTTGGTGACTCAACGCCTGTAATCCTAGCTACTCAGGAGGCAGAGATCAGGAGGATCTTGGACTGAAGCCAGCCTAGGTAAGCAGTTTGCAAGACCCTATCTCAAAAAAAAAAAAAAAAAAAAAAAAATCACAAAAAAGGGCTGAAGTGGATCAAGAGGTAGAAGGCCTGCCTATCAATCGTGAGGCCCCAAGTTCAAACCCCAGTACTGCCAAAAAATAATAATATTAGAGTAAGAAAAGTTATATCAGAGGTTGGGGCTATAGCTTCAGTGGTAGAACACTGCTAGCATGTGCAAGGCCCTGGGTAGATCTCATACCTAGCCCCACCAACAAAAAGAGTTCCATTAGTATTTAAGAAAGTACCTTAAACTGAATGGAAAGAGTTACTAAATCTAACCTGACTGAATATGGACCAAAAATCACAAATGGTTTTAGTGCTTATTTTAAAAATAATGTATTACTCACTCTTCAGGCAAAATTAAAAAAAAAAAAAAAAAAGCAACAAAAAACCCCCATAAGACAAAAGGCTCACCCACAAACTCAAAATTAAGCAGGGAAGTCAGTACTATTTTAAAAGATTACTTTATTATTTATACTAGATTCTGCTTCCAGAAATATAATTAAGCCCTTTTTTTAAGAACATTAACTTTTAAAATTTGAAAATAAATTGCCTATTAGTAAATTAACATGAGAAAACACTAATCATATAGGTGGTGAAAATAAAACATTTAAACACTTAAAATAACACGTGGTCACTGAACTTTTACTTAGTTGGGTGGTTGAATTTCATAACCCACTCAGTGAATGAAAACGTAAGGAGTAACAGAAATAAATGCTAAGTTGTTCAATGCATCTTTCAAAAGGCTTAATTGTCACTGCTAATTCTACAACTAAAGATGATTAAATGAAATCACTTTACTTTTGTGATATAGTATAGGTTGAAAAAAACTTAAAAGTCTACTAAACTTTTTAATCCTTAAATTTGGATCATCTCCAGTTAGGAAGTTGAAAGCAGGTCTAGATTAGTTTTCTTTCATTTAATTTTTAAAAATCGCAACACAGACATAAGAATGGCTGAGGGTCCTGAAAATGATTAATATCAGAGAAGAAATTTGGCTATAAATAGCAGGGTTTGTTTGTTTATTTGTTTGAACTCTGACACTTATAAAGATCAACATAGCAAACAATGAAAAAAGGGAATTCTAAACACAGGGAAGGCCACAAGCTGACTAGTGTTTCCAACTGTAAGCTAAGTAGATGAGATGGGAAATAATAACTAAGAAAATAACTGCAGAAGTTAAGGGCTTCTGAATTTTCACATGTGCACAGGTTATTTTACAAAGGACTATCTTGTGTTACCAGGTCAGTGGGCATTGCTGAAAGGCAAGAGAAGAATCCCAACGCGATTTGTCTAAAATGATGAAAGACATCACACAGGTTATCAAATGTAAAAGGGTGGTCTTCTTGGTCTTACCTCAAGTTCTCCTGATTATCTACCTCAGATGAAAAAGAAGTCTCAAAGGAAAAAATAAAATACCTTGAAATAATAATAATAATAAAAAAAAAGGAAACACAGCAACTCTGTGTCTGTGTGGGTCTCTCTCTCTCTCTCTCTCTCTCTCACACAACATACAAACGCATGCACACATATTTCTAAACCTGAAAACAGTTTTGCTTCTATGTAAGAAAATGTAAAATTCCACATAATAATCTAATTCCAATCTTTCGAAATATCTTGCATTCCTACCCAACTTCTACAAACTGGTCTTTCAAGATTAGCATGATTATTTTTGTAGTTGAAAATCAGCATCAGAAAGAAACATAATTAACAGTAGGATCAAATTAAATGTTAATTTTCAACATAAAAAGATATCTTAAAGCTGGGCGCCGGTGGCTCACAAAAGTAATCCTAGCTACTAAGGACACAGAGATCAGGAGGATCGGGGTTCGAGGCCAGCCCAGGCAAATAGTTCACAAGACCCTATCTTGAAAAATCTCAACACAAAACAGGACTGGTGGAGTGGCTCAAGTGGTAGAGCAACTATCCAGCAAGCACGAGGCCCTGAGTTCAAATTCCAGTGCAGCCAATAAATAAATAATTTTAGTAAGGGTCCAGAGTAAAGAAAACACAACTTCAAAAGATTGTTTTATAGACACTATACAAACATGCACCCTCCCAAAACCCTCTCTGTCACTAAAACAAAAGCAGGATGAAACTCAAATGCTTTTTTGAAATGTATAAACAAATACTTTCCTCTAAAATACTTAGCTTTATTAGAGAAATGGTACTAAAAAATAACAAAGATTCAAACAACATTTGCTCTATTCTACTTACATATCATAAATAAGACAGCTGCTGATGCAGGGCTCACACTCCTTCACAATCTTTCCACTATGCACCCAAGCATCCTTGGATCAGAATAAGCTGTTTACCAGCCAACATGTGGCCGAATGATTACATGACTATGTACTTTACATAGTAAAGCATTTTCCAAAATTTTAATGTACACAGTTACCAAAACAAAAAACAAACAAAAAAAACCAACCACACACAAAGTAATTCTGAACACATGAAGATGATTAAGCAGCTTCATAATCAAACCCAGGCTTCATTACTTGCAAAAAAGGGTAACTCTTTCCACTCACCACCAAATTCTTAAAGTTTCAACAGTATTAACATTAAAACAAAACTCAAGTTGAAACCAAGTAACTAACATTCTACTAAACTTTTTAAATCTATAAAAGTAACTCTTCCCATGAGGTAAGGCAACTGAGTAATTTGATTGTATTAGATTGCATTAAAATTATACTTGATTTTTAATGACATGCTAAATTAAAGTATTACGTTTTTGGAACTGTAACAACGAAAAGAGTAGAGTTCATAAACTACAAGTTATAGTTTTGGGGAAAAACCGTAGCATTGTTGTCATTTTACTACTTGCATACTTTCTGCAAAGTGAACCTAAGACTGATGAGTGACCTATATCTTAAACGCAAGTAAACATATCTTTAAATATAAAATAATCCCCTGTATACTCCTAGTCCTCCCTTTAAGTATAATTTCTGCATATCATTTATGAGAAAATGATTGAGGTAATAATTAAGGCCATCCAATATAGTCAACTAAAAGATTTCTTTTGATTTGAGGAAAGAAGAGCATGTTTCATTTTCAATTATCACAGTATTAAAAAAAAGAAAAAAAAAAAGATGGTCCCAAAACTGCATTGTTGTTTTAAACTCTAAAGTCAGTCTAAAAAAACAGGAATTCCTCCTCCCATCAGGTGAACAAAGTCAGAAGCTCTCAGACATACTGCTTGCATACTGTTCTATGGGTGTGGGGTATGACAGAATATCCACCTGGATTCCGTATGAATTTTAGCACATATAAAATTCTAGAAAACAGTATACCACATTGTAGAAGGCACTAAAGCTTCAGCTTGTGCTCTCGTAGCCCATTTTGAAAACCCAGTTTCCACTGTATAAGGGCATCTTTGCCACCTACAGCTGACAAGACATACTGCAATATTATTCATAATAAGCTTGGTAATGTCAAGAAAGTTCAAAGAGAAAGGCTTACTTTTCGGGTAGACCCGATGATTCTAACACTGAATACCAATATCATTATTAGTACTCAACGAGTTGCTCTTCCTTTTGAAAGAGAACAGTAGCATGCATTGTCAGTTGTTTTTTAATCAACTTATTTAAGCAACTTTAATCCGTAAAACTATTTTAAAGAAAAACTGCTGTCCTAAACAGTGAACAAAAGAAAACACAATAGTGAGAATTTACCACAATCACTGTGAATCTGTGAAGTCAATGTTAAAACTTCTTACATACTTTGCACTTACAAGGGTGTGTATATATTTGCACCAATTTCAAGCACATCATCAAACTGTATATATTGAATTTTTTTTTAAAAAAGTAAAACAATACAAAATTCAGTAACTAGCATTTTTTTAGAGAGCCTCCAATGCTTATCCCCAGTCTTTAGGGTAGAGCACAAATTTGGATCTTTGACGTTCAACTTATTTGCAGTGGTTCTTGGCAAACACTAACAAACCACATGACAAGTGTGTCAGCCACCATGGAAATGCACAGATTTCAGAAGGTGATGAGTTTGGGTAACACCTGATATTCTTATGATGTCCATGCTTGATTTTCTTACTCAGTAACAAGATGTCCACCTAACAAATGGATGTCCACCTAACAGCTGTTAGCTCCTATCTTTATGTTCATCAGGTTTCCTTCCTGTTAACATCTTGTTGAGAAAATAAGAAGCTTTGGATTTGATTCCAGCACTGAGTATAGAGGAGTATTCATCAGTCCACATTATACTGCTTCTGTTTTGGTAGACAGGTTTTCTTCAATTGGCTGACAGTTCCCGTTTTGCTGAACTTGGTTTTCCTCAGTCCTTGGTACATCCTTATCATCTACTTCTTTGCCCACAGTTGAATCTGGTTCTTTATTGTGCTCTTTCTCCTATAATGAATATTAAAGTACACATTTACTACTTTACTCGAGAACTGTCTATTTTAGCTAAATCATCTTCTGTGAATTAATGAAACTAGATTATTTTCTTCCATCCTTTTTTCATTAAAAAAGCATGCAGACACATATCAGTTTGCCCATTCTGCTTCACACAAAAGATGGGCAATCATGGAAGTAAAATTCGAATAAAGAAAGTGAGCAAAACTTCCAAACACACAATAAAAGTTACAGACAGACTTAAAAAAGTAAATTATGTCTGTTTAAAAGAAAAAGTGAGCTGGGTGCTGGTGACTTATGCCTATAATCCTAGCTACTCAGGAGGCAGAGATCAGGATAATTGGAGTTCGAAGCCAGCCTGGGGAAATACTGCCACAAGACCCTATCTCGGAAAAAAAAAAAAAATCACGAAAAAGAGCTGGCAGAGTGGCTCAAGGTGTAGGCCCTGAGTTCAAACCCCAGTAAGAAAAGAAAGTTAAATACGGACTGGAGGAGTGACCCAATTGGTAGAGCGCCTGCTATTCCTCTTAGAAAAAAACTGTTCAAGAACAATCCAAATTCTGTCCTCAGCTTAAAGAGAATAAAATGAAAACAAAGAACATCTAGCACTTAGTACATGCTCAATAAATGTAATCAATGCTATCGATGATAAGCCTCAGTCAGTATGAAAGTAAATAAAAGTACACAATGTAAGTTCCAGAACTTGTAATTTCCAAATACAGATACACTTCACCAGGATAGTAGGAGAAATGATTTAATTCAGAAGTACTAAAACAGCTCTAAGACAGAAGCTTACTTGGTGGAAAACTGGTTTTCAATTATGTGTAATAATTCAACAGACCTAAGCTATATGTATTATAAAAACGACAAAAGAGAGAATCTTATCAATTTTGCTGAATTGCACATATTGAGGAAAATGGCATCAGGTATCAAACACATTCATTACCTGTATTTCCTAAAAATTGTCTCATTGTATGCCATTTTCTGAATCTCTAAACTGCTTAAATTTTAATTGACTCCCATCTCATTCAAATTTAATTTTAAAATATTGTTAATTTATCAAAATACCAATAATGCAGAAGGCACTGTTGTCCTCAAGAAGCTTTCAGTATAAAAACAATTTGGGATGCCCAGCCCAAACCCCGAAGGATGTTCCTTACTTTAACTGAAGTATTGTTTTTCTCCGACTTCTCCTTCCCTTCTCTGTCATTAGAACTCTTCCTTGTAGAGGTTGAACGCTCTCTCTCTCTTCTTTCATTGATGTGGTCCCTTTCTTTTTCTCTCTTTTTATCTTTCTTATTTCGGCTGTCAGAATATCAATATGCATCAATTATAAAACACCACTTAGTATTGTCAAGCTATTACTTTTGAAATATTCAAGATTTATTTATCTATTGGAATAAGGATAAAATAAAACCAAATACAGTCAGCCTGTATCCATGGGTTCCTTATCCATGGATTCAACCACTGCAAATTAAAAATATGTGGGAAAAAGGCTGCATCTGTACTAAATATATAGAATTTTTATGGTGCCGAGGACACACACTCTACCACTGAGCTACATATACCCAGCCCCTACAGATTTCTCTCTTGTCATAATTCCCTAAACAATAGTAAGACTACTGTTTATAAACTATTATAAGATAACAACTATTTACATAGTATTTACACTGGATTATAAATAATCTATACATGAGTTCTAATGTACAAATGTAAATCATTTATAAACACTACACCATTTTATGAGAAGTTTGGACATTCATAAGTTTTGGTATCCATAGGGAGTCCTTGATCCAACTGGATACCAAGGGAAGATTGTATAGTGATTTCTTATGTACCTTTACAAAGCAACAGATGAACAAAAAAGAATAAAGAACCAGATATGGCTCCCCAGCCCAGCTGAATGACACTAGCAAAACTTTGACCTTCAAATAATCTACTATGTCACTTGCCTTCTTTATCGAAAACTAGAAAGAAGTCCCGCCAACTCAAGAGCAAAAGTTAAGCAAAGAATAGAATTGACAATGTACTATTTAAAAATACATACTCCTAAGACTATAAAGAAAAATGATTCATTTCATGTAAGTATAATAGCTTCTATTCAACATAATTAGCTCTAATACAAATTTTTTTCTTATGAATAGTTTAAAAAGACACCAAGAGATTCAAGTACATATAAAAACTTAATACAAAAAGGGAGACATTTTGAGTCACTGGTGAAAAGATGGTCATTTACAACAAAAACTTGGGAACAACTGGATAATCATTTGGAAAGTGAAGAAACTGGATCCACATCTCATTCTAGGTAACAGAAGAAAGTCAAGGATTAGAGGTGTGGCTCAAGTGGTAGAGTGCCTGCTTTGCAAGTATGGAGTTCAAACCCTAGTCCTACTAAAAAAAAAATTTTTTTCTAAATTCCCCTTAAATCTATTGAGGTATAACTTGCTGGTGGAGGGGCTCAAGGTAGAGTGCCTGCCTTGCCAGTGTGAAGCCAAGAGTTCAAACCCTAGTGCTACGAAAAATTTTTTAAATTCCCCTTAAATTTATTGAGGTATAATTTGCTGGTGGAGTAGCTCAAGTGGCACAGCGCCTGTCTTGCAAGTGTAAGTCTCTGAGTTCAAGCCCCAGTGCTGCCAAAAAAGAAAAAAAGAACAAAAACAAAAACAAAAACCAGAAGTCAAATGCAATTAGAGACCTAACCTTTTATTTTTTTTAAATGAAACAATATAAGTACTAGATGTAAACATGAGTGAATTCCTTTCTAGGTTGAGTAAAGGGAATTTTTTTTCTAACAATAAGTAAAACACCAGGCATATAAAAGAAAAATTTATAAATTTGTCTATAATGTAAAACAAAATAAACAGACACCATTAGCATATTCAAAAGAAAAATGACCAAAAAGTTATCAACATTTATGTGAATGTGTACCTTAACACATAACTCTTAAAAATCAAAGGAACAATAGCATTAAAAAGAATAAAATAGAAACAAATTTAACCAAAGGGATTAAAAAAACTTTTATACTGGAAATCACAACATGCTGCTGAAATTAAAGACATAAGGCATCCCATGTGCACAGAATGGAAGATTTAAGTGTTAAGATGAGAATACTACCCAAAGCAATCTACAGACTCAATGCAATCTCTATCACTGTTAGCAGATACAGAAAAGCTCATCCAAAAATTCATATGGAATCTCAAGGAAATACCAAATAGCCAATAAAAGTCTTGAAAAAAAGACTAAAGCTGGAGGACTCATACTTCCCCACTTCAAAGTGACTACAAAGCTACTGTAACTAAAAATGCCATAGTAGGCAAAGGACGAACATAGAAGCCTACAGAATAGACAGCCATTACACGCACTTGGCTCACATATACAGACGAGGGTGCCAAGACCATCAAAGGGGAAATGACAGTCTGCAGCAAATGGTGCTAGGAAAACTGAATAGCTACGTGCAAAAGAATGAAGAAGACAGACCCTCTACCTCTCATCATACGAAAAAAAAAAAATTCAAAATAGATGAAGACCTAAGCACAAAAGTAAAATCTTTAAAATCTTAAGAGGGAAATAGTGGATAATCTCCAACACACTGAAACTGATAATTTCTTAGATGAAACACCAAAAGAAAAATTAGAAAAAGTGGACTCCATCAAAATTAAAAACTTTTGTACATCCAAGATACTGTATCAAAAGAGTGAAAGACCAACTCATAGAATGGTAGAACATACATGGCAATCATTTATCTGGTAAGGGACTGACACCTAGAGTATATAAAGAATTTCTATAATTTAACAAAAAAAAAAAAGGTAAGGAACAAAGGATCGATGCACACTTCTCCAGAAAATGGCCAACAGCATGAGAAGATACTCATCACCACTCATCGTTACAAAGATGTAAACCAAAACCACCATAAGACCCCACTGGAATGGCTACAATCAAAGCATTAAGGAGTGTTAGTGAGACTACGGAAACACTGGAACCAACTTTACACATTGCAGGTGGGATATAAAATGGTGCAGATGCTTTGAAAAGCCTGAGAGTTTCTCAGAAAGTTAAGAGAGTTAATATATATAACCTAGCAATTGTACTCAGAAGAAATTAAATGTTTCCACACGAAAATGTGTACAGGAATTTTCATAGGGTAATTATTCATTAATGCTAAAAAAAGGGGAAACAATGCTAAATGTCTATTGACTGAAGAACAGATAAATAAAAGATGATTTTATCTATATAATGGAATATTATTCAACCACAAAACAGGGAGATGCTGATTCATGTTACAACATGCATAATCTTCAACACTATGCTTAGTGAACAAAGCCAGATACTGAAGACCAAATATTGAGTCCATACATGAGAAGTGCACAATTGGCAAATACAGAGACAGTAGACCAGAGGCTGTCAGGTACTGAAGTGAAGGAACTGGGGAGTAACTGCTAATGGACAGACTTTTGAAGTGAAAAATGTTCTGGGATTAAACAGTGGTGATGCTTGTACAACACTTATTACAGTAAAAACAACTGATTTATACATCTCAAAGGGTAAATTTTGTAATATGTGACTTATACCTCAATTTTTTAAACATGAGGCAGCCTCGGTGTAATCACTGGCCACATACTTACACACACAAAGGAATACGCTGTCTTTTGTGAAGAAAGAAAAAATGAGGAAATATGCGTGTATCTGCCTAATGTTGCAAAAAAGAAACAGAGGAAGGATAAAACTAATGATTGGTCATTTACAGATGGTGAGTGGGAATAGAGCAGCATCTCTAAATACATCTTTTTGTCTAATTTGAGTGTATAAATCAGAAAAGTTTTGACTTTTCTGAGGAAAGGCATGTTTCAAAAACACAAATATGGCCCTGCTTCCATAATACTCAACGCTTTCCATTATTCTCATCAAAAAACAAAAATCCACAACCAAATAAACAAAAGAACCTCCTGTGGGGAAACATGCAACTTATACAATAGAGGGTTTTTTAATGTTTATTTTTTAAATACATTTCTCTTTTCTATACCTAAAATCAAAAATTAGTAAGTCAGCAAGCTTAAAACATAAACATACAGAAGATATCAATAATCTTTCTATTGTACAAATCTAAATTCCAACTAGGTGACATAATGAAAGAAAAAACTCATTTACAAGAGCAACAAAAGGAAAAAATATCTACAAATAAACCTGAGCTACACCTCCAGTCCATTTTGCTCCGTTTATTTTGGAGATGCAGATCTCTCAAACTATTTGCCTAGGCTGGCCTCCAACTGCAAATCCTCCCAATCTCAGCCTCCCAAGTAGCTAGAATTACAAACACAAGCCACCAGCACCCAACAAAGGATAAACTCTTAAGGAACCAAATACTTAAATGCAAAAAGTAAAATGATGAAAGTGTAAGAAACAATGGAGAAATTCTACTCTTTCTAATTTCATGACTCAAATTTTCAAGTCATTAGAGGAATTAAATTTTTTGAGGGGCAGTACTGGGGTTTGAACTCAAAGCCTTCTACTAGTTAGGCAAGTGCTCTACTTCCTAGGCTACGGCTCCAGTCCTTTTTGCTTTAGCTTATTTTTTAGACAGTGGTTCAAGCTTTCGCCTAGGGAGCGCCTAGGATGACAATCATTTTACCTCTGCCCCCATGTAGCTGGAATTTCAGGTGCACATCACTACACCCAGTTTGCTTTTTATAGTCTATGGACTGGAACTTTTTTTTGGCAGTACTGGGGTTTGAACTCAGGGCTTTGTACTTGCAAGACAGGGGCTTTCCAACTTGAGCCATGATTCCAGACCTAGAATATTATTATGGGTTTTTTTGGTGAGACTGGAGCTTGAACTCAGGACCTTCATGCTTGCTCGGCAGGCGCTCCACCACTTGAGCCACTCCATCAGTCCCCAGCTTATTTTCTGATAGAAGGGTTCACTAACTTTTTTGCCTGGGTAGGCCTTGAACCACAATCCTCCCTCCTCTCCCTTCTACATAGTTGAGACTGCAGGCATGCACCAGTATATCCAGCACAGATATTAAATTATCTTTAAAAATAAAAACATTTAAAACTCTAAAAAGAAATGACAAACTTGGAATATCTGTAATAAAATTGCCAAATAATCCCCCTAATACAAGGAGGGCGCTCCACAGGGAAACAGACAAAATATACAATCTCGGAAAAAGGAAATATAATGGCCTTGAAATATAGGCAGAAGTGGTCAGCTTCACAGGTAAGAGAAATTTAACTAAGATTATACTGATATTAACATTTCTCACCTACCAAATGGACAATGGACAAAAATCATTAATTTTGATATTTAAGTTATAGCTATAGGAAATGAAGGTGCTTTCATATGTAGCTGATTACAGTGCAGTATTATCTTATGAAGAGTAATTTGCAAATATGTCTCAAAATTACAAACATAATTACCCTCTTACCCAGCAATAAATAGCATTTCTAGAAATGTTTCCTACATACCTGTATACCACAAAGCAATGTTAAGCACAAAACTATTAAAACATTACATCATTTATAGTAGGAAAATTCAGAAACGTTGTTCTACTGCAGGTTGGAATAAATCAAGGTATTACCATACAATTATAAAAAAGAATGAAGACATTCTCTCTGGGACCAGTATGGAAAGATTTGCTGATAGTTAGTAACAAAAGTATACAACAGTACATACTGTGTTCTTTTTATATAAGAGAAAACTATACTATATTCTCATGTTGCATCTGTATACAAAACAGGAAGGCTATACGAAAAATTAATGGTCATTACTTATGGGGACAGAGTGGATGAACAGATGGATAGAAGACTTCTCATCACGTAACTCTTTTTATTAATTTCTAAAGAATGCACATTACTCATTCAAAATATAGGTTGAAGAGAGAATTTTCTACATGTCCTGCTTCTCCTTTAGTTTTAGCACTTGTTCTCAACCTACCTCCGAGGGGATGGAGACCGAGAAGATTTCCTTTTCATGGTTTTTGATGATCTAGGAGATCTGGAAGAACTCCTGCTCCTCCTCCTCCGCCTTTCTCTGAAAGCCAAAGATATGTCATTTTTAAAAACAGAGACTGAAATGAAGGGCAATTCAAAAACATAAAAAGCAAAGGGTCTCTGATGCTCCTGAGTGAGTAGTATTCCTCAGAGGCAAGTTTATTTATTTTGAGACACTCTCACATTGTCTCACATGTAACCCAAGCTAATCTTAAACTCAAGATGCTCCTTCCTCCCTCAGCCTTCCAAGAGCTGGGATTTCATGCATGAACCACCATGCCCTTTACTTATCTAGGTGCTAGGGATCAAACCCAGTGCCTCCTACAAAACAGGCAGCACTTTACCACTGAGCTACATCCTCAGTTCCTCACAGGGCCTTTGTGAACACGTCCTTAACTGACTTTTAGTGCAGGTCAAAATATGACCCATAAATTTTACAGACTGAGAAAATCGTCATCTAAGAATTCATCTAGTAAAGGATAGAGGACCTCCTTTTCATCTGTATATTTGAACAGTAATTTCTTAAGTATAAAAAATACTGGAGTTTCAGATTCTTCCAAGTCAAATATTTATGCTCCTTCTTAGCATCTAAAATGTTTTTCCTACCAGGTCCTTTGTCATGTATCTAAGATTCTTGCTTCCCCACTGTGAATTATTTGTAACAAAGTAGCAAATTCTTTTTAAGAGTGGAAAGATGGGCTGGCAGAATGGCTTAAGTGGTAAAGTACCTGGATAGCAAGCATGAGGCCCTAAGTTAGAACCCAAGTACCACAAAACAAAAATGAAAAAAACCTGAAAGATAAGTTAGTTTGCAAACCAAAAAATTCCAGAGGCATTTAAATCGCTATTTTATGGAGAAACTGCTTATTCCTCTAGCCTCCTACCATTATTGTTGCTCCACCAACCTAAAATTGAGGGCACAAATTGTTTAGATACAAGTGAAATAGTTAAAATCTGGGGTGCAAATATAGCAAAGTAAGGAAAAATTAACAAATAGATTTACAGTGTTCATTATTAGAAACTATTTTGTTTAACATACTGACAAATGATGCATACTCTTAATTACTTTGTTTTAAAGAACAATCAACTTTAAAGAACAATCGATGACCTCACCATATCCATAAATCGAGTGATGAGGTGTGAGAATATATTTATTAAATGATTAATGTATCGATGCTCTCTCATGAGGAACTCTGATAATCAGTGAGCGCGAGGCTGAAATAAATCAATACTTTGGAATTCAAATTCTCTTTACTATTGCTTTTATTTTTACATGTAAAATTAAAAAATAAATAATGCTCACAATATTAGTGGTATATATGGTTGATGTTTAAAATGATTAAACAATCTCAAGAACTCTGGAAACACAAGTATCATTTTACCTGAGTCTGGTTTTTTCAAGTGGAAAATAAAGATAGTAACTCAAGTCTTAAATGGGGTTGTTATGGGGATAAATGATAACACATGTTAAAAGTCTGGCACATAATAGGTTCTCAACAAATATTTTCTCCTCACCTCACCCTCCAAATCCCCCCTCATTTTTTTTTGCATTCTGCAGACTGAATCCAAGGCCTCATGCAGGCTAGGCAAGTGTTCTATCACTGAGCTACACCCCAGCCCTCTTCTTACTTTTCTTGGTTTCACTTTTTGATAGTAACTTTTAAGCAATAAAAAATTTTTCTAAATAGCCTGGTGCCAGTGGCTCACGCCTGTAATCCTAGCTACTCAGGAGTCAGAGAGCAGAAGGATCACGATTTGAAGCCAAACCTGAGCAAATAGTTCATGAGACCCTATTTCGGAAAAACCCTTCACAAAAAAGGGCTGGTGGAGTGACTCAAGGTATAGGCCCTGAGTTCAAACCCTAGTATCCCCCCAAAATAAAATGAAATTTTTCTAAATATCTGATTTTTCTTTGAAAATATAGATTAGGAAGCAATGCTGGAAATGAAAGTATAAAGTAGAGTTTTTCTGAACAGTTAGAATGTTACCATTCAATGAACAAACCAGAGCATGTGAAAGCTGGGATGTGCTAGAGTGAGAAACTGCAACTCTTTACCAAGCTCTTCTGAAAGCAAGAAACACTGCTAATGGCTGAATGTTTGTTAACTAATATTGTTTATCTTTTATTCTCCAAGCACCAGAGGTTAGTTAAGAATGCATTTAGGACTGAATGTGAACATATGAACTTTCTTAAAGATCAAGAGATGCAAGGTCAATGACAAAATTAAATTCAGGTTATTAAAATTATCAAATTCAAATTATTAAGAAGAATGAAAGCATTTGGCGTTATGTTAAACAACTGCACAAATACAAAAGGATGCATGACAATCAATAAAATCACTGTGCAGTAAAGATAAAAGCATAATCACAGGCTAAACTGATATCCACAGCAAAGAAAACTGAATTTTCTTCCATTTTTAAGTTAATGTGTTGAAATGTGGCAGTAATCTAATATGAGCCCCATTTTAACATGTACTATTACTTTTAACTTTATGGTTCTGAGGCAATTTTTAAAAGCAGATACCAAATGCTGTTTAAATTCTCTAAAAAGAAGGAAAATGATACTGAAGTGCAGAGCAGATGCAGTTTGCCTACACGTCAGTGTCCTCACGCTTTAAAACAGTGATAATAATAGTCTTGTCACAAGCTTGTTGAGAAGACTAAATAAGGTGTCACATGGAAAGTTAGCTGAGGCATTGTATCTGGCACATGGTAAAGCATCCAATACCTGTACTCATCTGTCACTACCTTTTAATGTTAGTCAAAGGCTAGTATTAAGAATAAAATGTAAAAGCACAAATTTATAAAAGAGGAAGCATTCCTTTATCTCAAATTGTTTTCAGTGAAAAGCCATCCTTAAAATTTGCTAAAGCATATTTTTTAAAAATACTTTTAAGAGACAGTTTAACACAAATTTCCAGTAGGAAATTTCTACTTATTTATAGTCACGATATCATCTGGAGTAAGGAATCTAGGTTTATTTAGATAACCTTGAGGAAAGTTCTCATTTTGCAGCTGTTACTATGGCAACCTGCTGCCACCTGGTGGCAACATACCTACTGATAAATTGAAAGAACAATCCCAAGAAAGGAACCCTGAAAACTGACAAAGAATCCAATTTTAAATGTCATACACTCAACATAAAAAAATTAACTTAGATAACAGAAAGGACTAACACATAACGCTGCAACTTTAGAAATTGTGCATATTAAAATTTACCACACCATTCCAAAGATATACAGAAGCCTAAAAGGTCAACGCCTATGCATATTTAAATTTAAATACCTCCCCCAACATCTCATCCTCCAAGAAAACATCAATAATCCTGATAACGATTCGTTGTGTTAAAGTAGTGCATTAGGAAGAACAGCTAAAACGTTCCACATGATCTTGCCCAGTGTCACCTCCTCCTCTTCTCACAAGTTCAACACTGTAGTAATCCTGCTGGAGAAACGTTTACTTTGCAGTGAGAGGCAGTGTTCTGATTTTAGGTACTGGCTCTACCCCTTCAGTTAAGTGGTATGTTCCCATTTGTCACTGGCAAGCCCCTCTGTAAGAATGTGAAGTATTATCAAACCTGCTGGCACTACGAGATCTTCTTGAGGCATTGTAACTTCTGGGTGGTGTTCTGGATTTTTTATCTTTCTTCCTTTTTTCATCTATCTCTTTGGATCTGTCCTTTTCGCGTTCCTTTTCTTTGTCCTGTTCCTTTTCCTTCTCTTTGTCTCGTTCCTTTTCAGGCTCTTTTTCCCGCTCTCTCTCTCTATCCTTGTCCTTGTCCTTTTCCCGTTCTTTGTCCCGGTCTTTGTTTCTGCCCCGTTCCTTTTCCTTTTCACGCTCTTTTTCCCTCTCTCTCTCCTTCTCCCTTTCCTTTTCTCTATCTTTCTCTTTCACTCTGTCCTTCTCCTTGAGCTTTTCTCGAGTATCTTTTCTCTTGTCCCTTGAAAAGCAAACAGAAATAAATTCATTACTAACATAATTCTACTCAAAAAGGACAACCCTCCCTCTTTCTTCAAAATTACCAACACAAAATAATTTACAATGGCTATCGACATTCCACGTGCATTGCAGTTTAACTTGGGTACATGAGGCTGCTGAAGGAAACCTCATGAGTCACACTGACCATGAGGTCAAATCAGTAGCAATCAATGTTAATCCTAAACTACTGAAACAATCAGAAAAGGTTTTATTCAGCCCATTAAAAACCTACACTACAACAGACATTTAATAAATGAAACCAGTCATAAGCGTCTTCATAATTTCTGTAAAACTCACCGTGAACGTGAACGACTCCTTGACTTCCGTCTCTCCCTGGATTTAGAGCGTTTTTTATGTGGGCTCTTAGATCTCCGTCTATCTTTCTGTCTTGAACGTGATCTGTTATGGGATCTACTCCTGAAGAAAAACAGATTGTTAGGAAATCAAAGCTTAGAATTTTAAATGTAAAAAAGCCAGGATGTCTTTCAAGTAAGGGAATTTAAAAATCTATCCTAACAATATTTACATTTTTAATTCTCCTTTATGTAATGCTTTGATTACCAGAAATTAATTTATTCGAAACTTTACCAGATGTTTCAATGTCTACAACACAAAACAGAAAGAATTCAATAGTTATTCCTACATCAGACTTAGGTAGATATTTTCAGGTGTGGCTTTCTTTTCTATCAAATTATCAAATGCCTCAAATTACAGCATTTTTTCCTTGGTCCAAATTTTCACACCATAAATTGTCTTTTAAATCTTGGCTTGCTTATAATCCGGTTATGATTCATCCTGACAGGGAACAGAGGTTATGTAGCTCAGGGGACTCTATAGATGGCTGCATACTGTCTACCATACGCTAGAATAAGGTATAAATGACAGCCTGGTACAAATGACAGTGAATGTGACAAGAACATAAAAATGAGGTCAAACTATATTTGATCAGATATTAGATTTGCACTGCCTTGGTTTTATAGCTGTGATCACACTGAACTAACTGGGGTCTTTTAGTAATTTTTTCCTAACAAGGTATCCCAGGCACTACTTATAGCACAGTACGTGTACACAAGTGGTTAGGTGACTGGCTTTGGCTCTGAAACCCACCTCTGCCACACACTAGCTAGGAGCTCTCTCTGCCTGCAACCTGATCTCTGTAGGCCTGCACTTCATTTACAAAGTGGAGTAAGAGTTCACAGACATCTACAGCTGCCATGAGGATTCAATCAGATAATGTATGGAAAACTGCTAGGCAGTCTCTAGCAGAGTAAATGCTTGAAACTTTTATTTCTTTGTTTGTTTGTTTTGGCAGTACTGGGGTTGTGAACTCAGGGCCTCACACTGCTTGCTAGGCACTCTACCACTTGAGTCATGTTCTTTAGCCCTTCAGGGCTGACTTGAACAGTGATCCTCCTACTTATACATCCCACAGAGCCAGAACTGGAGGCATGTATCACTAATCCCAGCTTTTTTTGCTAACATGGGACCTGGCTAACATTTTTGTGCAGGCTGGCCTCAAGCTTTAATCTTCCCAATCACTTCTAGAGTAGCTGAGACTACAAGCATGAGTCACTAACTAAACTCATCTTGATGAAGGGGGTGAATTCAAGTATGATATACTGGATATATTGTAAGAGCTTCTGTAAATGTCAAAATGTACCCCCAGCACAACAATAAGCACAACAATAAAAAAGTTAAAAAGAGGAGGATTCCAAGATGGCAGCTAGAGGTAGGAAGCAGAAAGCTACCCTCCTATAGTGAAATCTTGGAGAGACGCTGGAGACACACTTTGCAGGCATAATCACCGAGAAAAGGCACAACTTTGACCCCTCCACATCTCCAGCCGGTGCAGAGAATCTCCACTTCACGTTAAACGGAGAAACGAGGAGGGCCCCCGGGGCCGCCAGTGGCCGGCGCCCACATGGCTTGGGAAGACGCGGACCGGGTGAGCTTCCCGGTACCGTGGTAGCCCCACAGACAAGCCTGGGCCAGAGCAGCATAGCCCCCTGGACAGACTGACTTCCACCCAGGAAAAAAAAAAAAAGAGAAACTGAGTAATAAGCATTAAGAACAGTTAAGACACACTGGAAAGAGGGTGGGGCACCCTGAGCACTAAAGATTGGGGGAAGGGAATCCTTCCAGGGACTGTAAATAAACAAGCCAGGCCAGCCGGAGAGCCTCTGGCGAGAGCGGGGCTCGCACCCAGCAACCAGTAGTGGGGAAGCTTTTGAGAGTGGAGGAGGGAGGAAAACTCCACAGGAGAGCAGGGAAGACCCACTTCCCACGTGAACTGTAAAAAAACATGCAGACCTGACAACGCGGGGGCAGTGTCACCTTTCCCAGTGCTTGGAAAGGGGAAAGCCTGTAGCAGAGGCTCCCGCACAGGAGAACTCTGAGCAAACAAAGCCTATGGGACCAGGTGAGTGCTAAGCTCACCCCAGAGATCTGCATAAATAACGCCGCCAGCTACAGGCTGAGAGCAGCAGGCAGGCAAGCCACAGTTGCAAATACCACTCTCAGAACTGTCTCCAGATGCTACCTTTGATGAGAGAACAACCGAATTACACCTGCAAGCCGAAAAACTTACTGAAACTGTATTGCATTTGAACTGGGGACACTTGGTGGGGCGTGTGTGTGTGTGTGTGTGTGTGTGTGTGTGTAGTTTTGTTCTACTTTATGCATCCCCTTTGATGAGATGACAGAACAACATCTGAGGCACCAACTCCAGGACTGGAGATTGAGACGGTCACCCAAATTATTAAGACTGAAACCGCATTGCATATAAACTTGGAAGTTTTTTGTTTTTTTTTTTTTTAATTTTCTATTTTCCATTGTATTTTAATTCATTTTTATATATAGATATTACTTTCATTTACTTATTTTTTATTTTTTTATCTTTGATTTTCAATCCTCTCTGTCTCTCTAATGTCTGTTCAGCTTACTGTCGATTAGTACACTAACACTCCCTGTTTATACCTTTGAAACTCTCTTGTCTCATACCTTGTTCTGCTTTCTCCCTCTTGTCTGTATATTTGTTTTCCCCTTTAACTTCTTGCTTTCCATCTCAGCTCACTCTTCCATTCTAAATAGTACCATTGTTATTATTACAAGCTAGAAAATACTTAATTACACACAGTACAGGGACAGTAACAACACCAAGGACAATGACGGGAAGACAGAAAAAAAAAGGAAACCAGTTTCCCCACAGCAAAAAATTAGTACAGGAACCAGAGGGGAATGAAGAGAACAGAAACTCAGATCCAGACTCCAACAAAATGAAGATAAACTATGCCAAAGGACCCAATGAAGCCCACAAGAATAATTTAAAAGAAGACATACTACAAGTACTCAATGAGAATTTTATAGAGATGATACTGGATAGGGTCAACCAAAATGTACAGGAGACACTCAAGAAATTCCAAGACAACAAAAATAGAGAATTTGAAAAAGCAAAAGAAGAAATAAAGGAAACCATAGAAGCACTGTATAAACACCAAAGTGAAAGAGAGAACACAATGAATAAATGGATAAATGAACTCAGGACAAAAATAGACAACAATAAAGAAGAAAACTGCCAGGATATGGAAAACCTCAGAAAAAAGAACGAAACAGAACTGCAAAACAAAACGGAAGGCCAATCCAGCAGAATAGAACAAACAGAAGACAGAATCTCAGAACTTGAAGATGAAATGGTAATTAAAGGAAAAACCGAAGAACTTATTAATAACTCAACCTGTGAAAAGAAAATTTCCATCCAAATCATGAAGAAAGAAGATGAATTCAACAAAATAATGCAAGAGCCTCCAGGACACCAAACAGACCAGATCAAAATAGAACTACTCCACGACATATCATCATTAAAACAAGTTCAGAAACTAAGGAAAGAATATTGAAGGCTGTAAGAGAGAAAAAACAAGTAACATACAAAGGTAAACCCATCAAAATCACAGCAGACTTCTCAACAGAAACATTAAAAGCAAGAAGAGCGTGGGGTGAGATCTTCCGGGCACTGAATGAAAATAACTTCAACCCCAGGATACTCTACCCAGCAAAGCTATCATTCAAAATAGATGGAGCAATAAAAGTCTTCCATGATAAGCAGAAACTAAAACAATATGTGACCACAAAGCCACCATACAAAAGATTCTGCAAGGGATCTGCACACAGAAAGTGACACCCAACTTAACCATGAAAAGGCAGGCAGCACCAAACCACAGGATAAGAAAAAGCAAGACAGTAGAGAGTAACATCAAGTTAGGTACACACAATCAAAACCTTCAAAACAACTAAGACAACTAAATGGCAGGAATCACCACATACCTATCAGTACTAACGCTTAATGTTAATGGACTTAATTCACCCATCAAAAGACACCGTTTGACAAAATGGATTAAAAAGAAGATCCAACAATTTGTTGCTTACAGGAGACTCATCTCACCGACAGAAATAAGCATATGCTTAGGATGAAAGGCTGGAAGAAGATTTACCAAGCCAATGGCCCCGAAAACAAGCAGGAGTAGCAATACTTATCTCTGACAAAGTAGACTTCAAACCTACATTGATCAAACGAGATAAAGAAGGACATTCCATACTAATAAAAGGGGAAATAGACCAAAAGGAAATAATAATCATCAATCTGTACGCACCCAATGTCAACGCACCCAATTTCATCAAACATACCCTGAAAGACCTAAAAGCATATATAAACGCCAACACAGTGGTTGTGGGAGACTTTAACACTCCATTATCATCAATAGATAGGTCATCCAAACAAAAACTCAATAAAGAAATCCAAGATCTAAAATATGCAATAGATCAAATGGACCTAGTGATGTCTACAGAACATTTCATCCAACCTCTACACAATATACATTCTTCTCAGCAGCCCATGGAACCTTCTCCAAAATAGATCATATCCTAGGGCACAAAGCAAGCCTCAGCAAATATAAGAAAATAGAAATAATACCGTGCATACTATCTGACCACAATGCAGTAAAGTAGAACTCAACAACAAAAGTAAAGACAAAAAACATGCAAACAGCTGGAAACTAAATAACTCATTACTTAATGAAGAATGGATCATCGATGCAATAAAAGAGGAAATTAAAAAGTTCCTGGAAGTCAATGAAAATGAAAACACAACCTACCGGAACCTATGGGACACAGCTAAGGCAGTCCTTGAGAGGAAAGTTTATAGCCATGAGTGCATATATTAAAAAGATTGAAAGATCCCAAATCAATGACCTAATGATACATCTCAAACTCCTAGAAAAACAAGAACAAGCAAATCCCAAAACAAATAGAAGGAGAGAAATAATAAAAATAAGAGCTGAAATCAACGAAATAGAAACCAAAAAAACCATACAAAGAATTAATGAAACAAAAAGTTGGTTCTTTGAAAAAATAAACAAGATCGA